TCCAAACTCATCAGCTTCAAACAATTCCTAAACCCAAAAACAGAACCTTCACACCCATGGCTATGGCGTAGTTGAATTCCACCTCCCAATCCCAATTTCCACACCGTATCTCAGAACCAATCCACTCTCACGAATCGAATAACCAAACCATTTCAAAACCCGATTTCAATTCAACAACAGTGAGAAATCGAACTGCAGAGTTCAGAAAGTACAGAGACACCATCAAAAGGTTACACATTCCCCTTTCTCCATCAGCACACCATTTGCCATTAACCTTCTTCAAAGCTTCTGAAACCACCATAAAAAACCCATCCGCTCGTAACTGTCAAAGCCCAACACGACCATAACCATTCTTCCTTCTATTCCTCAACTTCCATTCACCATCCACAACAGTTTTCGAAACCAAACGAAACCCAGAAATAAGCTTCAAAAAACAACCCATTAACCTCCGATTTCACTCAAACCTCCAAGCTAAACAACCCAGTGAAACCCGGAAACGGCATTCCAAACTCAAACACCATAGAATCACAATAAAACCGTACAAACCTAGATTCCTTCATCATCAACAAATCAGACCAACCAAACGAAGCTTCAACAGCAACTCGACTCACACCCACCGACGAAAATCGTCACTCCCCCTGTTCTCATTTTCGTACTTCATCAAACCATACCTCTATCTCGTAGAAACCCAGATTTTTCAGCAACCCAGATTCACTAAACCATCGTCAACACCCAACTTCAAACCCATCCCTTTCAAATCGAACTTCATCTTCTCAATCGAAACAACAAACCTCGCCATAAGTCACCTTCAAAAACCTGTTCTTCTTCTTCCACAATAGCCAGTCATGAATCAAAATCAACCCATCAACCAAAATCCAAACCCGTTTCACACGACCCTCCTTACTCCATAAACCATCCACCAAAACCTTTTTGAGTGAATCAAAATGTGTATCTCAGATTAGTTTGAAATCCAAATCCGGAAACTCGTGAACAAAGGAGAGTGAGAAGGAGAGAAAACGAAAGCAGAGAATATCAGAGAGAGAAAGGGTGACCGAGATTTTAATGGGAAGAAGAAGAGTTCTTTTTTTTTTATTATATGCTGATTTATTCTTTTTATTTTTTTTATCGTTGCTAGCTGGTATTGAGTTATGACGCATTGGTGGGGTTAGACACGACCTATCTCTCTCCACTTTGGACTAGACCCCTGTTTTCAATAATTAACCCCTTTCCCTTTTATTTTATGTAATTTATTTATAATTTGTTTACTTTTTTTTTACATATTATTTTGTTATACATTTTTGTAAATATATTTTATTTTCTAAGTTTTATTTTATATTATATTATATTTATTTTAGAACTTTAGAACTATTTTATATTAGAGTTTATATTATTTTCTATTAAAGTTTTATTTCAATTTCTTTTAGAATTTTGATTACTTTATTTTTAGAAGTTAAATTTCATTTCTCTTTTGTTATTGGGCATTTTGTCCCATTTTTGCCTTTTAGGTCGATGAAGAAGTTTCTTTCGATTCTCCGTCAAATTATTGATGAGAAATGAAGGATCTGAGACCGACTTTTTCTCTTCTTTCTAATTTTCGACTTTATTTCATTTCATCCGTCTTGGTCGATGACGAGACTTCCGTAAACCGTTATTAATCAAATTGTTGATGGATAATGTTGGATCCGAGACCACCTTTTTTCTCTCCTCATTTCTTCTTCTTTTCGACTTTATTTTGACTTTCTGTGATCGATGAAGTCTTGTATCCGCAAGACAAGATCCCAGTGTTTTTGGTCCTTGCGACACGATTCAATTGGAGAACGATCCTTAATATCGTTTCTCTATCTTGTCCATAGCACGGAAATCAATGCGCGACCTCTTAAAGTTTGACTTCCCTTATAAGTCGAGCTATGACGGTTTAGCGTCACATTGGTCCCGATTCGAAGCATCATCAAGGATCAAAAGAGGAGAAGATTGGAATGGAGCTTTCACACAATGTCAAGGGTCAACGGAACCACTCCGTTCGGTAACATCTTTCTAATTCAAGTCTTTTAATCAACCGCTGAATGTTGTGAGTTCTAAGCAATAGATACGTGGGAAATGATGAGTGGGGGGCCTCCTCTCATTCGTCTAGAGTGTTTAGTATATACCCTTTGGGAAATATGCGACGCATTCGCTCCTACGCCTTAGGTTCTAGCGTGTGTGTCCCGAGTTCCTTCCCGTTTAGGCGTGTCTTGGCCTAGTTCCTATTTTCTCTCGCCCCCGTGCGATCGAAACTCTTTTCTCTCGCCCTCGTGCGATCGAGATCCCCTCTCTTGCCCCCGTGAAATCGATACCCCCTTTTTTCTCGCCTTCGTGCGATCGAGACTATTTTCCGTAGTTCGGCCGAACTACGGTTGCTCTGATCTCTCATATCTGTTGAGAGTACGTAGGCATAGGATTGTGATAATCCTAGCGAGCATTTTTCCTTTTTCCCCCTTTAGGCAACTCGTACCTTTAAACCAATGACATACTACGTCCGTTCTACTGCAAATAGGTAATACCTAAGTCTCAAATGGTCGAGCAGCAATACACCTAACTGCTAGAATGCGCGCGCTAGTATCGTCTCCCTTTTCTCTCGCCCCGTGCGATCGAGAACACCCCGTTTACCCGTAGTTAGCCTGAACTACGTTTTGCTCTGATTTCTCGTACCAGACGAGAATACGTAGGCACAAGACGCGATGTGTTGGCGAGTAATTCCCCCCGTAGTTTCCCGAACTACATTGACTCTAACTTTCCCATTGCACGAGGGAATACGTAGGCATAGGGCGTCGATGTCCTATCGAGTCAGCTCTTTCTGTTCTTTTCAGTTCCTTCCGTTTAGCATTAGCAGCCGTAGATAGTTTGTTTTTCACCCATAGACTAGACAACAAGCGTGGATCCCGTCGAGTACGACGGACGTGAAGGGTGCTAATACCTTCCCCTTGCGTAACCGACTCCTGAACCCGAGATTTGATTGCGATGACCTGTCTTATTCTCTTTTCGTAGGTTTTCTCTGATCGTTTCCTTTCCCTCTCTTTGGGATAAATAACAAACGGTGGTAACTCTTCTGTCTTTGCCGGTCCCTCTTCGCAGCGATGCGACAGTGCGGTTTACTGGTGTAGTGATTTTGCTACTCAGCTGGCTGGTCTAGTATCCGATTTCACGTGATCCTGGTGCATTTTTTACTCTGTTTTTGCCTGGTTTCTGCATTCTGTGCATCTATCTTTAGCTTTAGATTATGATCATTTTAGAAGTTATTGTGGTAGTATTATGGTCGGGTTGCATTTTCGGTTGCTGGTCTGCGGTCTTAGGCAATCGAATTCTCTTGTGATCGTCGTGCGTTGGAGTTTCTCTAGATTTTTCAAGAGGTTGTCAGTGGGAGAATCTGTTTTGGTCAGAGATTTTGTTCGCGCAATGGTGGTTTGGACCGCGTCGTTTTTTAGTTGCTGCCTTGTTTGGAGTGTTGTGTTGTGCTTTCGATTTTGTGGCTCATTTATCCAAGGTTCGGAGCAGGAAGTATTCTTGTTTTTAGGGGTGTTTGTCGTTGTTTCGGAGTCGCAATGCTTTCTTTTTCTTTTTACTCATGACTAATGTCATTATTTTTCCTTAGTTTTGGATCTGGTTTTTGGCTTATTGCTACCGTTTTAGGATTGTTGTATGCATTTGGTTGTTACTGTCATTTGGTTTCAGTTGTTTTTCTTGTGTATTGTTTCTTTGTACTTTTTGCATTAACATTTCTTATGCTAGTATGTTACTCCCTCCATTTTAAAATGACTATCGTTTAAGGTTTTTGACCACAGAGTAAAGAATACAATGATATTGTTATAAGATATTGCACTTTTACTAAATTAGTCTTATTAATGTGTTGAAAATAATATACAGAGTAATAATTAAATAACACGATTAGAAAAATAGTAATTATTACTATTTGAAAAATAAGAATGACATTCATTTTAAAATATTTTTTTTTTAAAACGACAGTTATTTTAAAACAGAATAAATAATATATATTAATATCCTTTTAAAAAAAAAATATGAATCTCCACATGTACGGGTTTTTGTCATACTTATTACAAGTAACAAAGTATATGACAGAATGAAAATTGTTCTATCTCAACAATATAAGAACAAATTTTCACTTCTAAAATCTCTTTGCATGCAATCTTTGCAATTGTGTACTTTGAACAGAAAAACAATGTAATGAATTCAAAATTAATAATAATAATAATAATAATAATAATAATAATAATAATAATAATAATAATAATAATAATAATAATTTTATTAAAATAAATAATTTATAAATAATAAATTATAGTAGATCGGTAATGATTTCAACTACGTTTTTTCACTTGCAAAAGTAATTCATTTTTCTTCACCATTCAAATACTAAAAAAAAGTTAAATATTTTAGGATGTAAAATTATGTTTATTAAATAATTTATTATTTACTATCACTTAATATATTCTATTAAAAATTAAAACTAAAACATTTGAGAATTGTCCGACCTCCATCTATCTCTGAATAGATTTTTAAATTTTGAAATAATATTGAAATACATGTCCGATTTTGATTATTTTGATAAGAAATTTTATAATTATAATTTAGTATATTTTTAATTTATGATAAATTCGAGCTATCAAATCAATTTAGAGAAAAGCAAATTTACATATTTGATTGTCTCTTTTTCCAAGCCAAAAATGGATTTGGATTTCAAGCAGTAAAATCCTACGGTCACACAGTCAAGTGTTTGGAGGGGAGACCGTAGATTTTATTTTAATAGTACAAATTTAAATATCATTAAATAAATGAAAAAAACATAATAAATTGATAGTTTTATTAAATGGCTGAGATGTAAATTACAAGCACCGTTGTGATAAGATTCACAACTTGACAATATGATTTTGAAGGAAGAGAGCCATATCCACCATTACATTAATAATATATATAATATACTTTATTAAGATTTATGAAAAGTATTATTAATGAGGATTGCAATTAGCAGAGGCCCATCCAACCTGTTGTTTCTCATTGTCATAAATCACCACTTTATCTTGCATAAAGATATCTGAAAAAAAAATACAATAAAATTAAAAAGAAATTATAGAAATTGAACTTTTACATATTTTTTGGTTTCATGAATGTCTTACCTCCAATTATGTTATCGCTCATGTGTTGTCCATCAAGAATTCCGAAGCAGACACAACCATTTTTCTGAAAACAATAATAATTATTATAAATTAATATAGCAATATACATTCACATAATTCACATAATATCATGTGTTATTTTTATTATAAGTGATAATATCATACATAATCTTGTATAGTTTTAAAAGGTACATACTGAGATTATTAGATAATATTCCGGTGGTATTTGAAACTGCACATTCTTTGATGTTGTGAAGATTAAAGTCATGGGTTTAAAAAAGCCTTTGACTTCATTTATAGACGTGAAACGCTTGGGAGGCTTCAGACTACTCTCCCAACATACTGGTAACGTTTTATCCTTAACTGATCTGCTCAGAGGCTTCCCTTTCAAATTAGCACTCACCTGATTCATGAATCAGTTATTAGTAATGGAATATAAAACTTGAAATTTTGTAGCACTAATTGTTTTTTAGTTTCTATCTAACCTGGTTAAGAATAGCATTATAAATCTGGGTAGTGAAGTAAGTGTATGTGCTTCCACTATCAAAGGTAAGTTGAAGACCTTTCACAGAAGTAGGCTTTCCGTCCAAAAGCAGGTCCGCCGGGCCTACGATGTAGTGTGGTCTGAAAATGATATGCACAAAATAATCAGATATAGTAGGGGTTGTAATTATTAAGTGACAGTGCAAAATTTGATTAAACACTTACCCCTTAACTATAGGGGTCCAAACAACTCCGGATCGAGGAATAAATTTGTCTCCAAAGAATAAATATCCTCCTTCTTTGGAACTTAAACAATGGCCCAACACTCTGCGAGTAAGCCCTAGAGAGTTCAACTGTGACACAATGCTTATCTTTCCGCCGCCGAGGCCGAGGACTCCTACCGATGGGGGTGTATTAGGAGGAAACCTCTGGTCATATCCACACCTAACATGCAAAACACAAATAAGCTCAATAGAACAGTATAAATTGAGACTAAAACTCATGCATACACATGCACTTACCCGAATGTGAGTAAAGGTTGAGTTGCGGGGGGTTTGATGGTTCCTACGGGTATAATGTCTCGGACTAATGCACCCTCTGATGTCCCTTGATCTGCATATTCAAGCTTATATATACACTGGTTATTTGGCTTAGGAGAAGTACCCGGTATTGGCTGAACTAAAGAACACAATGGATCGGAACCTTTTACATAGTTGTCATGGGGTTTATAAAGTTTTTCCTTAGGCTGCAAAAACCACGTGAAGAAAATAAGTTAGTTAACTAGATGTAACGTAGTAACTGACACTTCAGATTGAAGACATACCACGGTGCAGTGTTTGCAAGGTGCATCGCACTGAATCCACGTGAAATCGCTACCGGTGTCAATGTCAAGCTCGTAAGGTTTGGGGGGATTGCCGATTTTGATGAACGCGACGAAGATCCTGCATCAAGAGGAGAATAAATGTTAGAATAAAAAAGAGTTAGTGATCAAGAAGAAGAAAGAGGAATGAAAAGATGAACGTACCCACGAGGATATACATTTCCCTTAAGTGGATAAGCAAATGAGGAAACAAGGGAATGAAAAATAGGGGGGTCTGTTTCATTCTTGTGGATGAGTTGATCAGCTGATGAGAAACTAGCAGAAGAAAGTAATGAAAAGAGTGAGAATGTTATTAGTGAAATTCCTCTCATATTTGATGATGAAATGAAAAAAGAGAATGATTTGTACAAAGTTTAATATTGTGGCTATGTATTTATAGGGAGAGAAGCGTGTTAAATTTTCATGGCTGTCATCCAATATAATTTTTATGCAATTACTACTGTGCATAAGGTAAAAAAATAATTGAAGAGTTAGTATAGAACACACTCTACATTGAAAATTTTACTATAAAGATATTAATTATTTTTTATTATTATTAGTGTTTTTATTTAAAATAGAGAAAAAAGAATAATAATAATATCTTCAATTGGTTACTTCGGGTAAACATGTCACATCATTCTATTAATATTTTTATTTGTATTAGTTTAATTATTTTTAGAATTATTATTATTAATAAAAAATGGTTTAGTTTAATTAATATTGTTAGCTGCTTTGCACCCAAAATTATTAAATCCTACCAAATATCACAGAGAATCGATCCAGAAATAGCTTGCAATTAATTCCAAATTCAAAAGAGAGTAAAAAAGAATAATAATACATGTTCAATTGTGTACTTCGGGTAAACATGTCCCATCATTCAATTGGATGATAACGAATTGAAGATCAATCCTAGAAAATAGAAACAAAAAATAATAGATTAATGGACCACTATTTATGCTAAAACTGTAACGATAAACATAAAATTAAGAAAACATGTAAATATCTTTATTTTGAATACTGGTTTTGGTGAATTTTTTTTTTTTACACAATTATTTTATATTTCTTTGATTGCTCTTGTTGAATTCAGGAGAAATTTAACAATAAAACATTTGTATATGAATGTTCAAAATTGAATTTTAACACATTATTTGTGTTTATCTATTCATGATAAATTTTAGAAGAACTCAACATTCAAGTATCTATGAAATTTTTTAGTCATTGTTTATGAATATGATTTTTGATGTAGCCCTTGTAGATCATTGTTTATGAAAATTAGTTTTGATATAGTCCTTGTAAATCTAAAATTTAAGATTAAATCATCTACGAAGGATTATTGAAATACATAATTTTAATCGATTTATGTGTTTGTATTTTGATTTAGGTTAGCCAACAAATCCAACAAGGTTAATTAAATACGGGAGATTCAATTCAAAAGGTCTAAATTTCTGGCACGTAGATATTAGATGTCGAGATAGATATTACAATACTGAGATCAAAATAGTTTGACCACACAAGTAAAGATGCATAAATTTAAATGACAAAAAAGTAAAATTAACACCAAAATTATTAACTCAGTTCGGTGTGACTCACCTACATCTGAGAGCTACCAAGTCAGGAAGAAAATTTACTATGATAATATTAGTTTAAAGTTAAACTTGTAACACCCTACTCTACCCATTCGTGTAAAAATTAAAAATACAAAGCTAATTGCAAAAATAAATTAGAGTTACATACGTAAGATGCCACATTACAAAACATCATCATGAAGTATCAAATCACTTCATATCTTATTTATTAATGAAACCAAATACTTTGATTAAACACCAAAATTAAATCAAATGGTTTAGCATTAAAGCTCCAATTACATCAAATCTGCACAAACTGTGGTTCAACAACATTAATCAAAACAAATCATGATACGTAACAAATAACAAATAACATGAAGAAAATAACGAAATCTCCATCCTTTCCGTGTTATGTATCAAAGTGACTCCTAAGACTCGATCAAATAGCAACACATGCTCCAAGCACAACTCAAGTACTTAATTATTTATACTCTTCAAGGAGCACCGACACAACAAACAGAAAAGGAGTGAGAACTACATTCAATAATACACGACAAAAATCACATGCTAAAGAGTAGTTATCACGCAAAGAACATCAACCATACAATCACAACGCATGTACAAGTGCCACATCAATACTCGGCATATTCAATCACATACATATGCAATGCGACTCAACTGACACGATACAATGCATGCGGTACCATCACAATCACATACGGTCCAACCTAAAACTCGATTCCCGTCGAAATCTGGATAAGTCGTATACGTTCCTCTGAACTACAACTTATCTCCACTCGACTCCCACATGGAGTCCGAACAAGACTAGGCACCCATCATGGATTTCCACCTAACTCATCTCCGCATAACATGACATGAATGTATGACACAAAATTATGCATAGTAAAACAATCATTCACTCTTAACTCACGATCATCAATGATCATACGTGAGTCACATAATCACTGTAAATTCCCCCCGAAATTACCACCACAACCTAAGACCGTCCACATACGACAATCTTGATTCACAAGCAATCAACACGTCTCAAACAGAAAATCACACGAAATTCCACATTTTATCTTATTTAATATCATTATTAGTTTCCCCTATATCCAATTATACCATCTTAGTCTTACAGATCAAGAGAACTTGCATTACACGCGAAATCGGGATGTAAATTGCAAAAACAGAAATTTTTTACTACAGCTCTGCCCATACGCGTATGGACTCGTTTCCCTCGCCCCAGGCCTGCGTATCATACACGTAAGGCTCATCTTCCCAGGTTTCCATACAGGTATTGCCTTGGGCCTTACGCGTATGGCCAAAGAGGATTTCACTTTTAAAACTCATCTAAAACGTCCCATACGTGTAATGGCTACCCCATACGCATATGGCCCCCTCCAAAAGCTTCCCATATGCGTAATGGCCTTGCCATACACGTATGGCCACTCCACCATATGTGTAGCTTATGCGTACCGACAGAGGGTCGTGCTGCCTCTAGGGACGGATGGATATCATACACGCATTGTCCCTTGGGAGTATCCCCGATACGCATATGCCCCCCTGTCATATGTGTACGGCCAGCCTGCACAGGGAAAAATCTAGTTTCACATCAGTATAATTTTTCATTGATTGAAGTACTTTTAAGCGCATATTTCAAACCCAAAATAATACCTACACCAGTTTAACACAGATGAGTTCATCCTAATTCATTAATTCATCATTTTATCAACGTTTTCTATCTTTAAAACTCATTTTTGTTAACTCCCCCAAAACCCCACTTTTCAGATTTGTTCTCATATCAAAACTCAACAACAATAGTATAGAATTCACACGAATTTACTATTTAAAATCTGCATGCAACCAAGATTCATACACACAATCCGTACACAACTATGGATTAACAACAACAATCACATAAACATAGAAATCAGACAAGAAAAAGGAAGAATGCACATAAAATCCTAAGAGGAAAAGGAACCCTAACTACCTTCTCATGTTTAGATCACCATTAGAGAACTCATTCTCCCCCTTACCTAAATTTCAAGCTTTCTCTCTTCAACAAGGTGGAAAACCTTAATTTTTCTTGCCCTAACTCTCTTATTCTTTTACGTGAACTGATATTATAGCCTCCCACTAATATCTCCTAATTATATTTTATTTCTTTTGAATTTTCTTAATAATAAAAATAATCCCAATAATACTCCTCATAATACTTGTGATAATATTGGTAGTCTTAATAATAATAACACTAATAATAATAATAATGGTAATAATAATAATAATAATAACATTAATAATAATAATAATAATAATGAAGTAACCCATTATTTATATTATTATCATTACATCATTATCTTAGCCTTTAATTTTGATTAAGTCATTCTACTAAGCTCTCACACCCACCCTTACACATACCATTAACCAAGACAATGTCAAGTATAATCACACTAAATAAATTATAAAACGACTCAATAATTGAATGGGGTATTACAACTCTCCCTCACTTAAAATATTTTCGTCCTCGAAAATGTACCTGTTGAGAACAACTCGGGATATGACTCCCGCATCTTGCTCTCCAATTCCCATGTCACACTTCCTCCAGCAGCTCCTCCCCAAGCTACTCTTACTAAAGGAATGTCTTTGCCTCTTAACTATTTCATTTTGCGATCATTGATCCTTAATGGCATCGCCTCTACGACAAGATTATTCGGAACCTGCACTTCATCCCTTTGAAGCACATAGGATGGATCAATAATGTACTTCCAAAGTTCCGACGCATGAAACACATCAATGGTTAATCTATTACACCTGATACATTTTCAAAAATTAAATAATTTTACATTTTGAGAAAATTTTGAAAATTGTGACGGTATATTACAGCAGTTTGAAATGCCATAATTTACCAAAAATATAATAGTTTATCTAAAAATCATTTTAAAAGATTCATGAAAGGTTTAAGATGAATATGCATGGTTTTTATGAGAAATTAAGATATATATATATATATATATATATATATATATATATATATATATATATATATATATATATATATATATATATATATATACTTGAATTGTAATGCATATTCAACCATTTTTATTCTTTCACTAATTTTTCAAAGCTTTTTGATAGTTTGAACTTGACTGTTATAGTTCTCAAGCTTTGACTCTTCTTTTTGTTGATGTGTTTGTCTTCATCAAAATTATAACCAAGGACAAGAAGAATTATTTTTCACATACTTGAGATACAATCAGATCCAAATAGATCCCCTAGATGCGCCCAAAACCTCATTTATATCGAACCATGGTAATTACTACTGCAATATCACGCCCTTCGGCCTTAATAATGTTATATTCATATACCAGAAATTCATGGATGTGGTTTTCACTCATCAGATAAGAAAAAATCTGGAGGTATATGTCGATGACATGATTATTAAAACTTAGGAAAAACATAGTCACGTTGACGACTTAGAGGACATCCTACAATCAGTAAGGTATGATATGCACCTAAATCCCGCCAAGTGCTCTTTCAGAGTTCAAGCGGAGAAATTTTTGGGCTTTATGATGATAAAGAGAGGTATTGAAGTCAATCTAGACAAGTGTCCAGTGGTCATCGACATAACAAGTCCCACAAGTGTGAAGGAAGTACAACAATTTACTTGACGCCTTGTCGCCTTGTCTCGCTACCTCTCATGTGCAGGCGACAAAGCCTTCCTTTTCTTCCCCGCCCTGAGGAAAAAGGAGAAGTTTAAATAG